CTATATTTCGCTTTCACCCGCAGATTTCGTAAATTTTTCACCCCATGGGGATTCGAACTCACGACCTCCCTCTGCGACTAGCGGTTTACGCGGATACCACCAGACCACCGGGGCTACCGGTGTCGAATTGCCTCTGTCGGGACTCGAACCCATGACCTGGCCCTTAGCAGGTTGCGAGGTTACCCACTAGACCGCCGGGGCGACCTGCACAGCAGTGCACCTGGACGGATATGTGACTGAACTCGAAGCAATCTACAAGATCGCGACATGCGAGGATTACTAGTACTACATCAACACCTCAAGAGATCAGTGGGCCTCAGCGGGAGACATGCGGGGGGACAACAGTTCGTCGCGGATGAGAACGGCGTGTTGCTCAGGAACAGGGACGACATCCTCCAGCGGTGGGCGAGATTCTTCAGCACCCTACTCAACACCAAATCCCCCACCCTGAACCCAGACATCATCGAACGAGTGACGCAGCGGCGAGCGACACGTGACACTCAACGGTTGGGAGATGTGCCAGAACTCGAGGAGGTGGCACGGGCAACGAAAGGCCTCAAGAACTGGAAGGCACCCGGCCATGACTCCCTCCCTGCCGAGTTGCTCAAGATCGATGACGACGAACCCTTCGTCCTGGGACACCTCCATACCATCCTCGTCAAGGTGTGGAACGGAGGAGACATCTCGCGAGAGTAAAAGGATGCAACCATCCAGGTACTGTACAAGAAGGGTGACCGGTCCAACTGTAACAACTACAGGGGGTTTTCGCTACTATCTCAAGCAGGCAAGGTCCCCGTCAAGATCATCGCCAACCATCTAAGCGCATTCTGCGAAGCCAACAACATCCTCCCGGAGGAACAGTGCAGATTTCGACCCGGGCGATCCACCGTCGACATGCTGTTCATCGTGCGCCGGGTCCAGGAGCTGGGGCGGAGAAAGACAATACCGCTCTACATGTGCTTCGTCGACTTGAACAAGGCGTATGATTCGGTGGACCGAGAGATGCTATGGAAGGTGCTGGCCAGGGCCGGGATTCCCGCGGAGCTGATCGAAGTCATCTNAGGAACAGTGCAGATTTCGACCCGGGCGATCCACCGTCGACATGCTGTTCATCGTGCGCCGGGTCCAGGAGCTGGGGCGGAGAAAGACAATACCGCTCTACATGTGCTTCGTCGACTTGAACAAGGCGTATGATTCGGTGGACCGAGAGATGCTATGGAAGGTGCTGGCCAGGG